GGCTCGTGTTCACATGCTTCTTTGCAGATAAAGCCAGTACATTTTTTTTTTTTTTGTTAGAGTGCCGGCTTGACATCAGATGTGCTCAAGCTTTCTGCTTGAAGCTGATAAAAATATTGGACCTGTTGAAGGGGGATCCTCATTTGAGCAGCTAGACAATGAATCATGTTCAGCTGAACTGCTGACAGGAGTCACCAAGGAAGAGGCATCACCTGAGTAGTTAGACCACGAATCCGCCACACTGGGACTGCTACTAGTCGACCTATTGGCAAGAGTCCTCATCTGAGTAGTAAGACCACGAATCGTCTTCACTGCAGATACTGAGAGGAGCCATGTACAGAGTCCTCTCTGAAGCTGCCTTGACTCCTCATATTCAGAGAACCCTGGGGGGAGCCCTGCGGAGCGGTTTGGTTTTCCTAGAAGCAGGTCTGCCGGCGGCAACAGCCTCTTCACGAACTCGCCCTCTTCTCTTCTCTGCAGAATCTGTTTCATCTTCAGGCCTCTGTTTCGTCTCACAGGTCGAGACTGCAGAGACAGCGGCACGTCAAGTCTCTTTGAGCTGAACGCAAGCACGTGCTTTAGAAGCCGACATGCGCTCTTCTGCTTGCGACTCTGCAAGGAGACCTACATTTTCCTCGTGTCTTGTAATATCTCTAGTGAAGACCACTGCTTGTTCCACTTTCCTCAGGAATCCAATTAGTTCTGTCAGTGTTCATCTCACGTGTCTGATGCTCTGCTTAATGCGTTCAGGTTGTTTTGCATGGACTCAGTGTGTTGAAGGCTCCTAATCCAGGATCTTGTCTTGTGCTTCTGTTTTTAGTGTCTCAGTTGTTTTACAGAGGGAAGCTTTAGAGCTGAAATGTGATGCCGGCACCGTCCAAGGGAACCATCTGAAAAGAGAAACACATGTTTGTGATACAAGAGTGAGAAACACAAAACTTTCAATTGTCAAACACCTGCAACATGAACCTCTTTACACAGCTGATGAGAAGTTAACAGACATCAGGAACACATCAATCAGACTCAGTGAAAACTTTCACTTGTCTAAATCAATCATCAGCCTCCGATTCTGAAACATGAAGCATCATACAGTGAAGAACCAGAACCTGCAGTTCCTCTCTAACGACCACTATGAGTCGATGCTCCAACAGTGAGTCAACGTCCCATAGACTCCCATGTTAAAATGTCCAACTTTACAGCAGAAATCAACATGTTTACAGCCTGTTGACAAACTATGTTTTGGTCAAGAGTCCATATGTATTCAATCTTCTTATCTATAAAAGGCAAAACAGCTGCAGCATCGACAACAAAACAGAACAAATCACTCATCAGGCTACTCCATGATTTGTTATGACACCCCTAATGGACCAATGATAAATCCCAAAACCAAACACAACAATATATTACAGACGCGAGTGGCGTGTGTTCCTCAGTCATGAAGTTCAATGTTGAGATGTAAACATGTGAAAAAAATGTGTTAGACACTATCAAGAACTTGCCATTGTGACCTGCTGGCTGAGGATTTTTGATGCTGCAGCGTTATTCTGAGCTCCTCACACTGCGACACAGGACTCCATACCACTCCTCCAGAACAGAGGACGCATCACCCAACACGGAGGCAACCTGACGGAAAATGAAGAAGAACTGTACGTTTATAGGACAGTAATATTCAGAGCGTGAAGTGAGATCAGAATTATGTTTGTTGTCATGAACCTGCTGGAATGTTTGAAGAGGAAGAAACTTTTCAAGTCTGGACAGAAGCAGCCACATCAAGGAGTGAAGAAGCTTCATCAAAACGTGGGACCAAACTCTTCAGGGAAAACTTTTCTGGAGAGACAGCAACAGCAAGTGTTTATATTTTAGTTTTTTACAAAAACATACAAAAAAAATTCATTTACGAATCAAAACACAAGATTTAAGATTCAAGACTCAGATTCAATTTAAATGTCTAAATGTCTGACTTCTCCAGTGGCTGACGACACTTTCTACATGATGAAACTACCAGAAAATAGATCTTTAATATGTTTGTTGAAACAATGACACTGACCTGAAAGAAGTTTTCCCTGTTTTCAGGATTTGACAGCATGTTTCTTAACAAGATCACAAAGTCAGAGTTTGGCGCCTCCATGTCTGTAGCACCAGCCTGTGAGACACGACACGAACATCACAAAAACTTTTACAGACATGGTAACGAGAACCAGAAATTACAGGGATCATCCAAAAAAGAGACATCTAATTTCAATAACTGCTTATTTTTAATCTAAAAACTCACCTCTGTCACCCACCCCTCGATAAGGGTCTGCATTCCTGTCCAGGTGTGGCCGCACGATCTCACAGTCAGCAGAAGCTTCAAACCGACACAAGGTCCAGGATCAGCTGAAACCACCAAAACCACAAGTTTTCATCTATTAGCTCTGTAGCGTAGCATTACCTCATTTCTATTTATAAACCACAAAATCAATGTTGCAGCAGTTATTATATGGCAATATTGTGGTTAATAACTGACTGCTTCTCCCTCTCACCCGTGCTCTGAGGCCCAGGATCAGTTGGGCCCTCTGGTGGGTGGTGAGCAAGCTCTGGGACAATGTCTGTAACCACGGAAACAAACTCCTCAAGCATCCCATAATCGGCCACAACTTTCTGCTGGATGGTCTGCCAGACCGCTGCCGAGACCAGCCGCATTCGGTGAGACCAGAGAGGCGCAAAACAGGAAGAGGGAGGCAGGTACCTGAACGCAAACATAAGAACATGGTTTATCTCAATCAAAGGTTTTTGGTGAACTTCCATCTTTCCTGCAGCAGTGGAAGTAAACGAAGCCTTGAAAGTTAATGCAAACAATTTCCACAGGTCGATGATTTAAACTGGTACTACACCCTCTGACGCATCATCAGGGACAACAACTGAACTGCAGCCAGCTGACACCAGATCAGATTGCAACAGGTAACATACGCCCATCATCTGCCCCCAGACCAGCACAAACACAACATCTAACAGCAAACACTAACACACAGACTTTGGTCAAATGTTCTGAAAACAGTCACTAATCAATTTCACTTCATTTGACTATTTAACTCCATTTCAGCTTCTATCAGAGTTTCAACTGACTCAGTTGAAAGTTTTAAGAAGCTGCTAAGAACCTACCTGTTTCATTTGCACTTTATGTAATATGTGGCTGCCCCCTGTGTTTTTTATTGTTTTTATATTTTTCTTTTATTGTCTTTATTTTATCTCATATATATATATATATATATATATATATATATGTATATAATTTATTTCATGTTTTTATATATTTTTTAAATGTTTTTACTGTGCAGCACCTTGTAATCCTGGTTTCGAAAGGTTCTCTATAAATAAAGCTTTACTTACTTACTTACCTCCATATAACACACTTGTTTTCAACCTGTTACTGCCAGGCAACAGCCCCAAAGACTCAACATGTCAATAAAACTGTTATAATCAAAAAATATATGTTATGGTGCAGTATGATTTCTGGACGACCTGTGATTACGTTTAACAAAAAGAATATTAACATTTAATTAGACTGTAGACATGTCGGCAATGTTAGCTAACGCTGCATGTAAGTTAGGAAATTCCACTCTAAATCAGAAGGTGTGTATTTCAGCATTAACACTTACGAGTCAACAACGTACAATTTAAAGTTGATGTTAGCTAACAGTGTTTTCTTCGTATGACTCCGTGCTTTAGACTGAATTAAGTGTTTTGCACAGTTAGCTTCAGCTAGCAGCCGAGCTACCGTCAGTGTTTCAGCAGTACAACTTCTCACTCACAGTTTCCTTCTGAAATATCTTCCATGTTTATTTCCCGCTCTCTGGTTAACAGAAGAAACTCTACTTCTCCCCGCAGCCTTCTCCTTCGCTGTCAAAGTCTGGGCTGTAATAAGATGCATGTAACAGAAGCTAACTACCCGCTTACAATGTTTGGACTGAAACTAATGATTCGTCCGACAGTGTTTATGTTCCGGGTTGTTCGACGGTTCCCATCCGTATTTCAAAAACACTACAATAAAGTTTTTCAGTCTGTGTTTCATAATGCTGGAGGGAAATGAAGCAATAATTTCTGAAATAATTATTCAAACTCGATTCATATAAATTTAACCTGTTAAAAAATGTTTTATATAAATTTAACCTGTTAAATTTATTTCAGAAATTATTATTTCAGTTTGACATGTGGACTGAGTTCTGTGTGGAGACTTGACACTCAAACATTGTCATGTCAGTTTCAAAATCATACATTTTTACAGTCTGTTTTCAAGAACAAAGTTTTAATTGAATGAAGATTAAAATAACAGACTGCAAAGTTGTGTTGTGTGTATTTGCAGCACTTTCGTTCTCATATTAATGAAGATGTTTGTGTTTTGTTTATTTGCATGTGTTTTCTTAAGTTGAAGTGTGCTGAGCTCTCAGGGCCACTGTACAATGGACAAACTCACACTGTCAGCCGGCTGACCAATGATGTAACTTCATCACTCACTCAGTCAGTGACATTCGTGTTGATGGAGCTAGCCCCCCGCTGTCGTGGTCCAGCCACAAAGCTGTCATTGCTATGTAAAGACTAAAGGACTGTTCAAGACGAAGTAATATTTTCCTTTAAGAGAAACTCAGTTGTACAAAGCCGTCTGTGGCACTGTGAGGTCTGATAAACTGCCTCGAGTGATGTCAGCTGAGTCAGCATTGTCAGGGGCCAACACTACAGGAGTATTCTTTAATCTCATTGTAACCACAGCAGACAAGTATTTCCCATAAAGTCTTTATTCGTGGTGCAGCATCATGCAGAAGCTTTGGTTAAGACATTAATAAGGAAACTTAAGGGAAGGATTTGCATGAAAACTAAAATGGCAGCGGATGCGTCCAGAGAACCATGTAGGATTTACTGTAACAATGTTCGTAGATTTGTGCTTCTCGGCTCCAGGTCCGACAGAAAGATTCATCCCTAAGGTTAAAATTATGCACAACAGGTGGACTCTTCGATGGACTCTGTTTATTGAAAACCAGGAAGATAAAAAATAAATACATCTGCACCTAAAAGAAAAAAAAAAATCAATTTCTGTAGTGAAACTTCACATACAGCACATTGTGTCTGAAATAAATGAGCTGGGCAATGAACTATAATTACAGGTGACAAAGCATCTTTGTTGGGTCATAAATGGAAGTATACAAATGAGGAAAGCCATTTACAGTGATGAGAGTTTATTGGCATCCTTTCAACCCTTTTCTTTTTCATGTTGTGTTTTTTTTCTTTTAAGTATTTTGCTCAATATAGTAAAAAGTAAAATACCACAGAAGCAATGCATACTGGTCAATTCTGAAGGCATCTGAACAAAAATATAACTCAAGAGTTACAATGTCTGAGATCCTTTTTTTTGTTTGTATTTTAAAGATGGCGTCTATCTTAGATTTGTTTTCTACTGAGGGAAACTGAAACAAAGTCTTTATACATGGGAATGCATACTGGTCAGAAACAGATGAGCAAAACAAGAACGACTTGCTCACCAAAGTTATGAGGCTTCAACAAATTCCTCCCCAAATTAATTCAGGAAAAACAATGCACATTTATTTCCATTGCAAATACTATTATTACAAACGCTCGAGTCAATAATATCCCACCACAAGAAGTCCGCCTCAGTATGGTACAATGCCAAATCACAGGCAATTTTATATCTTCAGGTCTTATTCACCAATGTGTCGAATCTTCAGAGTACACATCTTATGTAGAAAACTTTTCTCGCTTTTTTCTTCCTTTATACAGAGTAATAAAAAACAGTTAAGGCAAGATGCATCAAACAGAAATCCGAAGGCCTTGGACCAGCCTCTGCAGGTGTTCTGATTCCACTGATTCTGGATCAGAAGAAGGTGCAGTCAGCGGCTTCCACTCGTTCTCTGTCTCAGGCATCTTACGCTGTGGCGGGAGGGGAAGAGGAGGAGGTGGTGGTGGTGGTGGTGGGAGAGTGGGGCAGGGGTGTCCACTAACACTCCGCCTCCCCTTTGATCCCCCGCTCGGAGTCTGCCAAGATTCTCCTCTTTGGCACTTAGGCTGGCAGACTAAGCTTCTTTCCTTTCAGCACTGAAATGAAATGTAACAGGTTTATGTTTAACACAGCAGACCACATGACAGAATAGCATTTCAAACACCAAAACAAGACTAGGTCAAAATCTAGTATATGCCTGGACCACCTCTGGTCAAATCCTGATTTATAACCACAACGTCGTCTGAGATAATCACCAAATACATAAATGAAAGACAAAGACTGGGCTGTGATTTCAGCTGGATTTACTGTCATATGATCTCTCAGAGAGAAAGTTAGAAGAGACAATATCTCTCTTTTTTAAAGTAATTTTTTCAGGGTTTTGCCTTTATTATTTAGAGAGCGAGAGAGAGAGTGAGAGAGAGAGAGAGAGAGAGAGAGAGAGAGAGAGAGAGAGAGAGAATCACAAGCAGCAAAGAGTCACAGTTTCCTAAACACTCATTTATCTATCAACATTGATTTACAGTGCATAGATTCGCTCGGCCCCTCCCTGCCCTGCTGTCGCTGGCTCTAACAAACACAGTGACAACAGATCAGTTTGTCATAGTCGGACTGGCGATTGGGACACTGGGGTAAAACCCTGCCTCGTCATCAGTGGACCATCAAAAAAAAACTCAAAAGTCTTTACCGTCCCTGTCTCTTTCTTCACTGGCCCTCTGTGTGTGCCTGTCATTCAGGGTGCCCACAGCGTATCAGAGCAGTTTTTAGGGCTCTGAAGAGGTAAAACTTTAAAAAATAAAAAGCTATAAAAAATTAAAACATGTTGTTTAGCAGTGATGCTTCTTTCCTGTTTATTTTCATCTCATCTCATGACACCTCAGATTTAACAGGAGCAAAGACCAGCAAAGTTTGTTTGTGTTTGTTTCCATCTTCTACTGAATCTGTCGTACAGCTACAGGAACAATAATCACCTGACAATACTGAATAAAAGGTGTCAAGTATGTACATGAAAAATGTTACTATAGTTGGCTGAACCCTGAAAAAAGTGGTCCAATACCAACATGGTACCTTATTGGGACATTTCAAGAAAAGGTAAAGAAACCACAGCAGCACTCACCTTTTGTTACATACAAATAGAAGAAGTCGCAGTAGAGGATGGTCTGCACCACTCCAGCAACGATGGCGATCATGTCAAAGAATCCCTCAAAGTAGAACCTCCATATCCAGTTGATGAGGTAGACGGCTCTGTAGAGTCCCAGGAAGAACAGGTAGTGGGTGGTGATGGTCTCGGCCTCACCCGTCTTGCTGATCATGAAGAGCTGGGGCAGGATGGCCACCGACTCCAAGTAGATGGAGAAAGTCCACAGGATCTGAGACAGAGAGAAGAAATAACGGAGCGTTTGAGAGACGAGAGAGAACTGATGTGTGTTTGGACTAAAACAAAAACCAGAGACCAGACTTAAGTCAGATATTTGCATAATTGTCCTGGAAACAAAATGAACGTCTTACAGCACAAAGAAATGAGTGTGTACAAGAATCCTGCTCAGTCGATCCACTACAAAAAGCTTCAGGCTCAGGTAAACTAATATCGCCATCTGTGTTTATCATGTGTAACAGGTAGGACATGAAATACCCAGTGTAAACAAACAGTGAGAGACAGAATGCAGCCTATACATTGAGTTAGCTTGGCCTGTAAGATTCTCAAATTCCCCACTCATTCATTTCCTCCTCAAAGAAGTTTATGTTTTCACCTGTGTTTGTCTGTTTGTCTGTTTGTTTGTTTGTAGCAGGATTATGTAAAAAACACTGAACTGATTTGCACCAAACTTGGTGGAGGGATGGGTCACAGGTCAGGAAAGAACCGATTAAGTTTTGGTGCCAAATGCTCTGTCCCCTTTGGTTTTTAAGTGGCCCTTGGATGTAAAAGATCAGTGAGAGCTTATATAGACAGGTGTGTGTCCAATCAGCTGAGTTTACCACATGTGGACTCCAGTCAAGTTGTAGAAACATCTCAGATATTGAGTATAGATTAATGAGGGGAAACATGAATTTAAATTATTTTAGCAAAAGGCTGCAACATACCATGTGAGAAAAGTGAAAGGGTCTGAAAACTTTCTGATGCAGTAAACCTGTCAGATGTAACTGATCTGTAGCTCACTGAACCAAATGATTGTGTCATTATATCTGACCTGAGCCAATACAATACACTTCAAATTACAAAGCAGAAGTTGGTTATTTACTTTAAACAACATGACAACTTATTTTCAAAGACACGTTTCTGCATGAATGCACACATTTGCTTATGTGTACATACATGCAGAAAAGTCATACCTAGATATACAAGTTCAATGTATGGTTTGTAAAGTTATGTTTATGATGCTCGCTGTTTACGGTGAGGAAATGCCAGAAGTGAAAATGAAACTGTGTATGACTGCAGTCTGTGAGAAAAGAGGGACAGGGTGTGTGTGTGTGTGTGTGTGTGTGTGTGTGTGTGTGTGTGTGTGTGTGTGTGTGTGTGTGTGTGTTGTGTTTCTAACCTCCAGGGGAGAAAAGTCGTGGTTAACCAAGAAAGCCAGACCACCAACAGGGACAACCAGGAACTCCACTCTGAACGTGTCATGGTTACCATCGTAAGTTGCCTTGAACTTAATGTAGATCAGGTACACAGTGGCATACGCACATCCAATGTAGATGATCTGAAAGATTAGAGCAACACCACAACATAAAGTCAAAACCCAGAAGTCGCAGTATCTCATGGTCTGACATGAACACACACAAATCTGTTGCATCTTGCTGGACAGTTTCAACCTTCAGCAAACACGGGTGTGTTGGCTCGGTGCACTAGTTAAACCTTCACACTGTGTGTTTAGTGCTCGGAAAACAAAAAAAAGCTTCAGGATATGAAAATGAGGAGCAACGTGTTCGTAGTTCACCTTCATGGTGGTGTTGTAGAGAGAGATGAAGGAGGTGAGCAGGTCCAGGTAACGAGTGGTGAACACCAAGGCAAACAGGACCTGACTCTTTCCAGAAATACCTGTGAAGAGACAGTAGAGGGCACTCAAACACTTCACATCCCAGACATAAGTTTACATCTCAATTCTTAGTTTTGAAAAAGGAGATCTGTCACAGAATGTCAGTCCAGACGGTTTTGATGCTGCAACTCACCTACAGCCGTTAACACAACATAACTTCTGGTATATGGTGGTTAACTTCCATTCTATAAGCAAGCAGTAACATCTCCACCCAAACACAGTAAGTCGCAGTTACTCACAGTAAACCACAGATCTCACCCACTAATCCACAACTCTATTCTACTGTCGAACAACACACACCTGCTCACTTTATCTCTGCGTAAGAGGAACAAAATGTTTCATTCAAACATTCACCAGTGTTCACTCCCTGCAGCCAGCTCTCTCTCTCACACACACACACACACACCCACACACACACACACACACCCACACACACACACACACACAAGACACACAATACACACACACAATACACATGCAAAGTAGCAAAAATTACAAATATAGTAATCGGAAACTTTAAATTGTGAGCTAATTGCTTTGCAGGAGCGTGTACTGTGACACAGTTACACTGCAGACCACTAATAAGCAGCTGGTAGTGTGTGTTTGACGTTGGCTGCTCAGTGCTGAAACAGTCTACTCTACATCCCCACCTGCTCTGTTTATCTGGTGTGTTGGCAGGTTTTCCACAGTCACACCCACTGTGTGCGACTAGCAGAGGGATCAGTAATCACTACTATTTGTAGGCAATCACAGACTAGTGCTGAGGTATTCTGGTATTGACCACTGCAGTCACACATGCAACAGTTTGAAACAGTAAAAATTGAACAAAATTGACCTCTGTGCAGAGCAACCTGGTTTAATCTTAGGTTAACAGCACTAAAGATACAGGTCAGGTGGCTGGCTGTCTTTTGACCTTTGACCACTGACAGAACAGGAAGGCGCAGCAAAGCTTAATATGAAAACACAGCAAAGTTTCATCAGGATAAAGCAGCCTGCGACGTTGCTGTGCAAATGCATAAGCAAAGGCATGCACTCATTCACTGTCTATGAGTCCTCTGCTGCCACGTCAGACAGGTCATCATAGGCTAACGTAATGTATAGGAAGCACCGAGCGGCCAGCGTGAAACCTGCTCGGTTGACCCCCCAACAACTGAAAATAACGAGCCCCAGCCCGCTACAGTAAACTAACTAATGCGTTGGCCCTCTGGTCCCCACGTCCCTGCCTACCGTCGGTGCGGGGCCCACGGCACTGACAAGGCTAGCTAGTAAGACAGCTGCTGCTAGCTAACACTTCACAGCTACGTCTCCCCGAAAAGAGCATTTATCAAGCTTCACGTCGCGTGTTAGTCCCTTTCGTTACGGCAACAGTGACAATGTCAGAAATGACTTTCTTTACCTGATAACAGAACATTCCGGTGGTATTAGCAAGCTAGCTAACGTTAGCCGAGAGCTGGCTAATGAGCTCAAACAGAGGAAGCTACACAGTACAGAGCCTTTTTCTGATGGTTAAACTGTACATTTACATGACAGGACACATTATATGCAAAGACCGGGGTCGTGCACACTGTAAGTAAGGGTGTATGACCACTCACCGGCACAAGACCTGGTTTTCCATATTTTTAGCAGCAGGATGATGATGGCTGCTAGGTGAGAGAGATCGCCGGTTAGCCTGAAAATGTTCATGTTTGTTGGAGCTCCAGCGGAAGCAAACCGATGTTTAAGACTCTATAAAGAGCTCCGTTCGTCTCCGGTAGCAATTAATTAACGAGCTAACCGTGCCGAGTGACACAGTGACACTAGAATAGACCGATTCTGGCTTCAGAAGATGGGAAAATGGCGAGTAAAGAGCGACGTGGCTCGGGGATGTGGCCAAGACAACGGTGTCCAATGAGAGACGGGAAACGCTGGAGCGCTCAGCCAATCACAGGAGAAAGACGGCCACTTTACATAAATTATGCTACGCAAATGCTACCTTCACACTCCGTGGACAGGATACGAAATCAGAGTTTCGTCTTTCATCTCTACCAATTGCCATTTACAGTAAAAGGAAATGAACCAGTAAATTCACCTCAGCGATGTGGAGAAAATACCTGACGTCACATGTGATGGTAAAATAAACCCGGCCCAAACTTGGGCCACATGCTTGTTTTGTTCTGGTCCAGTATACGCCCGGTTCCACGGCCCGAATCTGGCCCACATACAGCATGATGGTCAGATGCTACTTCAACATCTGGACCAATTCTGGTGCACAAAGAAAATCTTTGATCTATCAGACAATCCCAGAGGATAACAGCCAGAATCTCCTTTTTCTTTTTCTTCTGATGTTGTTTTATGGCGGTTGGCAAACAGCTTGTAGGTGCTTTACCGCCACAACAGCCAGAATCTGCCCAGATATGGAAATATATGGGCCATACTTGGGCCAAGGACCCAGGCATATGATGGCCCAGAAGCTTAATTTTGCTAACATAACTAATGTTTTATCACAGAGGTGTATTGCACAGCAGATAACTGCATATTTCAGGGAAATCCTTCCAATGTAATGCTAAACTTGACACAAATCCTCCTTGGATATTACTCTTCTGATAAAACACTGACGTGAAGTGAATGAAAGTTAAGATAACTAGTACAGAGTACAGATTACATTCACTCAACAACATGGACAAATACGAGCTGGGAAATGCAGAAAACAACATGTAGTGTTTATTCTGGAGTCCATATCATACTCTTTCAATACAAATATTGCATTAATTGTGGCACATTTTTAATAGTCCGATGTGCAGTAAAATTCTAGCTGCACAACACCGATTTAAAGCGAGACCATAAGTTTCAAAAGAAGAAAATAACACAACATTCTTCTCAAAAATAAAAAGTCAAATTCATAAGCAATAAAACACACCTTTGCTTAATTCATTGCACTCAGCGGATTTGCTGCTTCAGCCTTTCCTGCTCTGGTATGACGAATAGTTCAAGGTGGCTAATGTTAATGTTAGCAAACTTTATCTTGATATTGCTGGGTAACTGACATCACTGTGTCAGTTTGGTGACTTTATGGCTCTTTTCTACTTGGGCTGCGGTTACACAATGTTTTGTCCTTCAAGCTGCACTAATAAGGATCTTTCATACTAGCAATGGGTCAAACGGTTGCACTCCAAATGAATGCTAATGTTGCCCCTTGACTATTATATGTGGAAATATGCAATTGTTTGCAAAGAAGTTGCCATAGAAACTTATGTAAAAAAACACTAATTGTGCTGCCCCCCAGTGGCCATAATCAATTAATGCAGCTTTAGACATTATTCTGTAATTGTCACTTGTGGCTACAGAAACCGCTGTTTAACATAAATTACACAGGCTTGCTTTAAGAAGGCCTCGTATTACTTTTGTGATCACTAATATCAAGTTAAAAAAAAAAGAACAATTTAAATACAAGAAACCCGATTCAGGTTGGTTAAATCAAGTGTGTGCATACATCTGGTACCTTTGCATTAGACACAAAAAATTACAGTACAAATTCAACAAAGCTTCAACCATGATTCTTCCCGACACTATTCCAGAATGATGAAACATTACCAGTAAACACTTCCCACAAATGACAGATTTTACAGAACAAACACCGACAACATGGTGATATGTTTTAGAAGATTTGATCTTCGGTGGCATTTAAATAGGAGGCAAAGTGCCATTCACTTATTTTTTGCTTAAAAGATAGAGGTATCACTGTCACACAAGATGGCTGGTAAATGTAGGAGCTACAGTACCTGAGCTTCATGCCTGACTCACCAATTCTAAACAAGTCAGAAATACTGTGTTTTATGAATGAAGCATATGAAAATTGCACTAAAATCCATCCAGGAGGAACCGACCAAGGTAAGGTTAAGGGTCTCAGTCCCATTGTGGATTTGGTTTTCACTGAGCAGACTCCTCACTACTGTCTGAAGCCTTGAGAACAAAAACTGCATCATCAAGAACATAGTAATCATTATACATGTCCCCCTCACAGAGGTATGGCAATCGGGTCACGGCCTCCACCTCAAACCCCACCCTTCGGAAAACCTCATTGGACAGGTTGGTTACTTGCTCCTCCCACGTCTTTCCTTTTATTTTCAGGTGTTCTGTGGGACGCTGCCATTGTCCGCCTGCAAAAAAAACCCCAAAAACAGAATGGTTTAATTCTGATCCTACACCAAATATTTAAAAAAATTAGAGTGAATATGAAATTCTAATATGAATCCCAACTGACCGACTTCCACGTACGGCTGGAAGGGAAGCACAGCAGCCAGGACGAGTCTCCCTGTGTTGGGAACCAGCGACCGCTTGATGTCCCGCAGGAGATGCAGAGGATCATCGCAGCGATCCAACAGGTTCAGACAGCTGATCACGTCATAGTGGAAACCAGTCTGCTGCCACTCGTCTATATCCAGCACTCTGAGTGTGTGAGAGAGAGAGAGAGAGACAGAAAGAGACAGAGAGAGACAAAGAGAGAGAGAGAGAGAGAGAGAGAGAGAGACAGAGAGAGAGACAGAAAGAGAGAGAGAGACAGAAAGAGAGAGAGAGACAGAGAGACAGAGAGAGAGAGAGAGAGACAGAGAGACAGAGAGAGAGAGAGAGAGAGGGAGAGAGAGACAGAAAGAGACAGAGAGAGACAGAGAGAGAGAGAGAGACAAAGAGAGAGAGAAGCATGAGGTCAGAGTCTTGTGGTAAAATTAAGATCTTCAGATGGTGAGAAGTTACTTTCTAAAAGTTAAATTAATAAATGAATACATTTTAATTCTCCCTGTTTTACAAGTTGCATAAGTTTCTCTTTTTTTAAAGAAAATACTGCTTTCATTGACTAATTCCAATTGCTTCTACTATGCCTGTCAAATCAAAAGCCTTGCAGCAGCTCATCAGGAAGGGAACACACTTGAGGTTTGTTCATGTGTGAAACTATCAGAACTTTCTATCAAACAATTTTCATATTGCTATTGATTATCGCCTGTATATATCGCAATTGTTTTATCACCCAGGCCTAGAGATGTATTTATGAAACAGGGGAAATAACAGATAACAACCTAAGGACCTCTTCTCTCCAGATTCTGAATTTGTGCACAGAGCAGGGTGAAACAACAGAGACAGAGAAGCCAACTCACTTGTAATTCCTCCTCTGAAGATGCCATTTCATGGGTAATGAGACCTCGGTTGCATAGACTTCTCTGAAATGGGCTCCCATCACTTCTGTGACGCCTCCGTCCCCGGCTCCGAGGTCCAGGAGTCTCTCTGCCCTCCACTCTGGGCCGATCTGGAGCAGCTGCTGGAACTGCTCCTCAGAGAACACAAACATGGATCCACGTCCCAGAAACCTGAGACAGAAAAAAAAACATCATTTGAAGATACAGCACTGATGAAACAGAGGCAGAGACGTGTCTATGCTACTGACCCATTGATGGAGGTGCGTGAGACCATAGGGCTGAGGACTGTTGATACAAGAGAATGGTAGAGCTGGGTGAACATCCAGCCGGACTTCTCCACACTCCGCCTGAGGAAAGCCTTGGTACCGGAGTCCAGATGGCTCTGGATGAACAGGGGCTGCACCGACTCTCCGAGCAGGTCAGGACAGCACCGGTACCACTAGTGAGAAAAAATAAAAGTAACAACTCAAATTTAAATTTAAGAATGAATAGAAGAAGCTTTGACAGTGGGAGACCTGGAGCTACTCCCTAAACACCATGGCTTAAATGAATAAATCTATCAGCATCTCAAATAAGTATAATATCAATAAATAGCTTATACAAAAGTCTAAATCAAAGATTATCATCGATGTTCAAATTTCCAAAACTGAAATACATAATGTATGCGTATATGTGAGATGTAAAACTACACTGAGATGGTTTTTGGTTCTTAAACCCACAAAAATATCTTCTTAAGGGTCAACACTTCACGTAAAACACAGAAGAAGAGGAAAATATGGGACCTTTAAACTCAGTTTTTTTTGTGACCTACTGATTATGAATCATTCATTTATTTCTCACAAATTAGAAATAAAGAATAGAATACCAGCATACAAACATAATAATAATAGCAATGGGTGAAAATGGGACACCCCCATATAAGCTTCAAAAGCTTGAGTATGGGCCCAGTCACTGCATGTACAAAATATAATTTCAACCACAAAATACCTAAATCCTAACACTTAAAACACTCAAAGGAATAACTAAATAGTCCAAAACATCCGTCCCACCAGTCTATATATCAAATCAATAGGCAAGATAAACAATCAGCAATAAATGGTGGATAAAAAGTTACAGTAAAAACAAATAAAAATAATTATATATAATATTCATATCAATGTTTATAAACAGAATAAAAGCTTGAGGCTACATGCTGATATAACAACCTATATTAGCTTCTTTCAGATATTTTTTACATGTTTCAGTGTCTATTGAGTCAAGAAGACACTGATGTACAGAAATGCCACAAAAGGCCCAGATAAGCATCGGTATGTTCACTCCTGCTAAATACCATTGTAGATGTTAACAAGTCTAACCTGTCCAGCCTGGCCATGGAGAGAACTAACACACACCTCAGTGCAGTCTTCAACAGGACATTAAATGTAGTTAGTCTCTCAAAACAAACGGACACAAAGTGTGACCAGGTGAGGCTCGTCTACCTGATCGATTATTAATCATTCATACCTCCTGTGTCTCGGTCGCGGCAGCTTCGCTCTCGCTCACCATGTTCACAAACAGTGAGCGCACGAGCGGACTGCGGACGTACTTCCCCGTCCACATCCTCCTCGCGGAGAGCAGGAAGGCGACGTAGCCCAGCACCCACGCTACAAATACCAGTGTCCTCAGCTGTAGGTGACACATAATGGACAACAACTCTGAGCACAGAGGCGGACAGACAGCGGCCGCACTCTGGAGGGAGCGAACAGACCGGCCGCACTGAGATGTGGTTAATATTAGATGATTGAGAAGGTAATGGCGGCCAATTGTAAAGCAACACGCCGGGACATGTCTCCAGTTCCAAGACAAAAAACAAACAAACCTGAGGGTGCGGTGGATTTAAGAAAACCAGCTGCTATTTACTCTCCATCTTAGTCCCGTGAATCCACTGTCTGGTCATTTGTAACAAAGACACAGTGATCTTTCACCGGTGTGGTATCTGCCCATTATCACAACAAAGACTCCCATCCGCATAGTCTGCACTTCCTGAGTCACCGCTAAATGTGTCCCCGGGAACCCCGCGAAAAGAACCAGCTGTGCCGAAGCCGACATATACTTCATATAACTGAGACGAAAGGTAGCAGTCATTAAAAAAACAAACTATCATCATTTTTATTGACCAAAGGAAATATACAGTAGGCTCATTCACATAAAACAGCAGCACATATGACCTTAACTTAAATGACATAAGTATGATATAAAAGAAGAGTATAAAAAGAATGAAAATGCAAGAAGATATATTTCTTTAAAAATAAATAAATACATACACAAATATTAACATATTCAGACAGAGGTGATAGGGGAAAATGTAATTTAATTTTCCAAAAGCTTATTATTTTTTTTGTTGTTTAATAAGGCGAGAGGCAAAACATGTTGTAATAACATTTGCAGAATATACAGTGTATTCAGTAGCACACCTCCACACCTGTTGACAATACATCTCCCTCAGCTGCTTTCAAAGTGATACCACTCAGAGGTTTGAAGCTTAGACTCTAAACTGCTTCTGAAAAATAGAAAATGACACAATAAGTCAGCAGCATCATTACTGTATGTGTTTAATTTAACATAGTTAAAGTGAGGAGAATGTACCTCGGTGATTTCACACATTAGCAATCACACTGGATACACAACTTAAGACAATTAAATATCCTATTGCTACATTTCACATCAGTCCTTCTGAGTAGTTACATCACACAGGTAAGATGTTAAGGTATGACTACAGTTATGGAGTGGGAATCTTCCCTTGAGAAACCGTGTGGCGGCTGGTAAGAGAGCGAATCTGTCGCCTCAGAGTCCAAAGCATCGTACAGTATCATCATTATCTGTCTTTTGACTCTGTTCCTCAGAGGCGGGTTTCGTATTCTCTTCAGTTCCATCGCTACAGTGACACCAAACGAGTCCTCACAGTCTCTGTCTGGCTCTCTGCTCGTCTCCTGGAGAACATCGATCATGTGCTGCAGCAAGGCGAGTTTCTGTCTCTCCATGTTGTCGCTGTTTCGGTTTTTGGGATGTTTTTTGACAAGCTGAGGAGGAGGAGGTGAAACAGAGGAGCTCTCAGTGGGTGAAGGTGAAGCCCCGCTGTCAAGGTCCTGGGACAGTGCTGTATTCTCTGGCTCGCTGTCACTGCTGTCCTGCTGTGTCCTCAACTCCTCTTTTATCGACTGTTCAAGTTGGATCACAGATTATGTGAAAATTAGATGTCTGTGGAGATGTATGGATTTATTTTAACAGTGGACACATACAAACAACACTTATTGGGGGTTATTTTGAAGGTAACACCCACGTTGTTTTCAACTTTGTGTTTTTTGAGGAATTCACAGGATGTCAGGATCCTCCTCTGCCTCATGGTTATGGGTTTTCTTTTCCTCCCAGAGCCTGCGGTTTTGCCAGTCGAGAATACTGAGTCCGTAGTGAAGTGGCCTTTGTCTTTACATCTTCAACTGCAAGAAAACACAACACACAAAACACTGAAGACACTTCACATGATGTGGTCAACTAGAATCACCTCCTTGTGGTTGTTTCCTTTGTAGTATGTAGTTCTAGAAGTAGTTGAATCAACAGTGCAACAGAATCTTTAGTAACATGTATAATCATTATTCATCATGAGTCCTAAAGTGTGAGACAGTTCATATTTATTTGCTCCAGTAACAATCTCCCTCTAAATAAGTGATGCTGTTGGAACAGCACTGATATTAACTATAATGGCGGAGGACTATGAAATATGAACTCTAATGTTTTAAACTATTGACAGTTTGTTACAGCTACAGTGGAGTCCAAAAGTCATGTGATTGTATGTCTGACGTGGGGCAGAGAGTGTAATACGACAGTGAGGGTGTAGGGACCAAGGAAGAGCACAGCTGATCAGACTGAACAATGTTATGGCCACAAGTGTTACATTAAAAAATACTATATTATCATATAAGACACTGTGTCTGTGTTTGGGAAGAGAAGATCTTCATGTGTGGACACTGCAGGTGGAGGTGGTGCAGGGCCTCCATCATCGCTGCAAGAGGTTGTAGGTGTCCCCAAAGATCCAGACCTTGGCTGGATGGAAAAAAACATTATAATAGAGAGAAATCATATCAATATCATATTGTAGAGTGCAGAGAAAAAGACAAAAGAAACAGCACTCTGATTAGATGATCACAGATATCTGAAAATACATTATTCCCTCAGCTTAGTTGTAATAAACAGTCTGCTCAACCGCTTTACATGAAATAACAATAGAATAGAAAGTAATACTCAGTTTGGTGTCATTGTGCAGGTGCACATGTCATGATGGTTCTCAGCTCTCAGTGATGTTCTTTATTCTGACAGAGACAGAATCATTCCAACAGATGTTCTGACTCCTGTCATCAATAATGAAATGAACTAGAGCTGAAAACTAGCCGACTAACACTGAACCAAACTTAATATGAACAAACACGACACACACGTCCGCTGCTCTGCTCTTTAACAGCTCGTCCAGACACGACAGTTCACTGTAATAACGGGATCGTTTAGTGACCGTGACTTACCGACATTGACAACCCGCTGTCTCTGTTAACACTAAGGTCGGTGACGTCACCTTCGCTTTGCAGAACTAATTGTAAAACACGTTATAACATGTTTTCCCTCGGTCTATGGTTTTAATACAAGCGGTTACACCACACAGTTAGCTTACACACAGTAACTAAAGCTAATATTACAAGCTTTCTCCTCATATATGTGATATTTACCAAACGTGTATGCTAATCACATGTATGTGATTAGCTACTAAGATTATTTTAACACTGATATATAAAGTTTACCTCGAATTATGAATGCTAACTGTGTTAGCAGCGACTTCGTACCGTGTATCCAGGAGCCTGCTGCGGTCCGGTAGCAGGTGTAGGCGGCCGTGCAGAGCAAAGACTCTCTACAGAAGATACCGCACTACAGGCAGCGCCAATGGTATGAAATGGGACACAGTTCCGGTCTCCTAAATGGGTGTTGTTCTTTGGGAAAGAAAAGACGGATCCGTTTTTCTTGTTATTACAGCCTGTTGCTGCACAAAGCTCGGCATTTTAACACTAACTGATGGATTACCTGTCCCTGTCGGAGCAGAGAGGCGGAGTCTCGACTCCACGGCTTCTCCTATTGGTGCAGCAATGATCCTTCCAGCCCTCAACACAGCTGCTGCCGTTTAATCATTCAGAGGAAGAGAGTTTAAGAGCCCGGCCAGCACATCATTAGTGGCGGCTGACATGATAGGCAGCTCGCCTCTGTACCTCCTTTGTGAACATTTGTGTGTAATTTGGTTTGAGATGCTGGTGTTGATTGTTGGGGACTGGGCTAGGTTTAAAATTCTGATTGCGCATCCAACCCATAGAAAACGACTGTTGGACCCATTAGGAACAGGGGTGCTGCTTCTTGTGTTTGTGGGTTGGTTAGAATCGCATAGTTAGGCTCTTTGTTGGCTCCTGTTCCCCTACTTCAGTTATGCTTTGCCTTGTTTGTATTTTTGTTTACTTATTTACCATCCTGGTTACGCAATAAATTAAATCAGTAAATTTGATTTACCACTAACACCTGGTTTTATGTTGCTTCCCTTTTCCCCCAGCTGGGTCGGAACATAAAGACTGCCAACATGCGGGGACTGGGAAAACGGATGCTAAAAACCAACATGGCATCAGTGAACTGACACCTGGCTCTGTGAGCAGGCCACAGTCAGTAAGTGAAATACTCAGTGAGTAAAATTTCTCCGGCTGTTGTATCTTCTTTGCTTGCAGAAATCAACTGCCTGGTACTGGATGTGAGTCCCACAGCGTCGGAGGTTTTACTTTCTCAGCAAAGTGGTTCCACAAGGGTTTATATCTTGATGCTTCATGTGAACAGTGCAACATCTACTGGCCTGAAAGCAAAATGGGCAAATACAAACGTTTGCGTCACAAATTGAATGTAAGTATAAAGGAAAGCACGACTATATTTTAATCCAAGCATAGATTTATATACTGTAAAAGCAAATTAAAATGTTTTGTAAGTGTCAATATCAGTCAAGTTAAGCTCAATGTTTTTGTTAACTTAAGTGTCAAAACTAAGTTGGTTTGCAATGTGAGCAAAGAACATGTAGCTTTACTTTTAAATGTCAGCTTTTGTGGTTGTGCTGTAAAGGATGCAATATAAGATGTGGCCAGAACTTTAGTTTCAAATGTTCAAATAATGAATGAACACTATCAACAGTGTGTGAAGCAGCCACAGTGATGTCATGATCAAGATCTCTGTTGTATTTCAGCGTTATCTACTGAAATGTGTATGCTCACCAGCCAGCTCCGACCTGTCTGTTGTGATACCACTTTGTGACGCTAGACGCTGTGTGAGTCAGTGGCGCGTCAAGTCTGCCCTCAGTCCCGCGAAGAAGAGCAACTTCCGGCAGCGCTTGACGATAGCATCACAGAAACACAGGTATGGCTGAACCTCCTAAAAGACGATATTCATCTGCATCCCGAAGCACCGCTCCCGCCAAGAAACCACGTTCAACGGCAAAGAAAAGAAGCAACACGCGTAACTCTCGGTGTGGCTTTCCACCGCTGGAGACGGCTCCTGAGAGGAAAGAGATGCGGTTTGATGACGAGCTCGAAACTTTCCTGTTAGCCAGGTGAGTGGCTTCATGTTAGCTCTGAAGCTAAGAGTATAATCAGTGCAACGACTGACAAACATTTCAGGTGGTGATATTGAGGTTGTCGACAGACGTTTTAGCGGTTACTAGGACTGTGTCTGTTGCTCTCGGCTGTTGTACAGTTGGTGACGTCAGTAACTTTAGGCTCATTTTGTAACTGATGACTGTAACTTGAGATTGTATGGAGCCAGTAGACCGAGTGAATACACGTCGATCGGTTCACCATGTTGTTACAACTTTACATTCCTGTTAGGAGATCAGCCATGACTGAAAGTGAACTAGGTCTTTACATTTTTCAGCAGATTTCAGCATCCCTCTGTCTTTATCAGGACCTGAGCCA